ATATGTATAGATAATCCCATTTAAAAAAATTTTTTTAATGTTTATTTTTGAGACAGAGCATGAGTGGGGGAGGGGCAAAGAGAGAGGGAGACAGAATCTGAAGCAGGCTCCAGGCTCCGACTTGTCAGCACAGAGCCAGAGGCAGGGCTTGAACTCTCAAACCATGAGATCATGAACTGAGTCGAAGTCAGACGCTTAACTGACTGAGAAAGCCACCCTAAGCTCCCCAGGCACTCTGATAATCCCATTTTTTAAGTTAATTTATTTTTTTTATTAATCTCTACACCCAACGTGGGGCTTGAACTCATAACATGGAGATTAAGAGTTGCACACCCCTCCGACAGAGCCAGTCAGGTGCCCCTAGGTAATCCCATTTTTGTTAGTATTTATTAGTTAGGTGGATATATATTTTCACTTCATGGTTGTTTCCTATTAGTTTCATTTGTTTCCTATTGTTACTATAACAAATTTCCACAAATTTGGTGGCTTAAAGCAATGCAGGTTTATTCTTACAACTCTGGAGGGTCAAAGGTCTAAATTCGAGGTATTGGCAGGGACTCATTCCTTTTGGAGGCTTTGGGGAAGAATCTGTTTCCTCGCCTTTTCCAGCTTTCTGTGGCTGCCCTTATTCCTTGACCTGTGACCCCTTCATCCAACTTCTAAGTCTGCAGCTGAGCATTTTCCCCTCTCTCTGACCTCCTGCTTCCCTCTTACAAAGGCTCTTTTAAGTACATCAAGGCCACCTGTATGATCCAGGATAACCTCCCCATCTCAAGATCTTAATCACATCCACATCCGCAAAATCCCTTTTATCATGAAAGGTAACATATTCACAGGTTCTGGGGATAGCACAGGGACATCTTTGGGGCTGCTGTTCTGCCCACCACATTACAGTGTTTATTCCTGCATGGTGAGATTGTGGGAGTTGTTTTCTTTCTTTATCTGTATTTTCTTTTTTCTAAACTCAACATGTATCATTTGTATAATGTTCGAAAGGGGGTTTGCTATTAGAGTGACAAAAATGTTCTAAAATTAGATTAGATGGATGATGGTTACACAACTCACTACATTTACTAAAAGTCACTGAATTGTACACTTAAAATGGGTAAATTTTCGGGGCACCTGGGTGGCTCAGTTGGTTAAGGGTCCAACTTCGGCTCAGGTCATGATCTTGCGGTCTGTGGGTTCCAGCCCTCCATCAGGCTCTATGCTAACAGCTCAGAGCCTGGAGCCTGCTTCGGTTTCTGTGTCTCCCTCTCTCTCTAACCTTCCCCTGCTCATGCTCTCTCTCTCAAAAATAAATAAACATTAAAAAAATTTTTTTTAATTAAAAAATGGGTAAATTTTAAGGCATATAAATTATACCTCAATAAAATCATTAAAAATCAAAAATCGAGGGCGCCTGGGTGGCGCAGTCAGTTAAGCGTCCAACTTCAGCCAGGTCACGATCTCGCGGTCTGTGAGTTCAAGCCCCGCGTCGGGCTCTGGGCTGATGGCTCAGAGCCTGGAGCCTGTTTCCGATTCTGTGTCTCCCTCTCTCT